TCCTCGAGAGCCTGACGAAGCTGATCTTCGGTATATTGAGGCATTATATATAGAAGAAGACATGTGCAAAAGATGAGCCCATTTGGACGCGAATTGAAAATGTTGTGATAAAAGGAGGTTGGGGGTGGGCATTGGGTTGTGGTGGATTTTCGCGTTTTTGTGGGTGCCAGAAACAGGGGGGTGCCAGGAAGTGGGTATGTTGACTTACTGGCGGATTATCCGTCACGAGTTTCCGGCCCCTGATTAGCAGAATCATGACTGGCATCGCATAAGAAAGATTCAAGAACAGGGTGCAGCTTGCGATGTAGGCATTAAATGCAACCTCAGGGCCTATGAAAAGTTAGTTTCTGCATCTCATGTTTATTGACGGGCAGACGAACCAAGATAGAGAAGACCAAACAGAATGTTGAAAGTGGCCTGCACGACTATTGCACGTACAGGGACGTTCAGCTTAGGGTGGAGGCGCGACAGACTTCAAAAGACCAGGTAAGTAAGATGGGCTAAAATGGTGATAGCTTCAGGCTGTACGTACTACTTCGAGAATGGAGTTCCGTTATCTCGAGCCATAGACCAGACCAAGCGACTGCCCGACGTTACGCAGCCGTTCGCGCCATTAACGAAACAGAGGGCGACTGCGACGCTTAGAACAGTGGCAGCTGCTCTGCTCTTCGTTGCTTGCAAAATCATCTCCGTCAGAGGACTCTGCGTAGGCGAGGAAAGCAAGACGTCAATGTCAACGGCGCAGAAGAGCATAACGAGGATGAAAGCAATTCCCCTGCGTGTATTGTCAGGTTAAATGTACTATTTGATGCGATGGAGTTCTACTTACGTCGTACCACCGACGATCACGGCACCGACCATGGCTTGAGGGGCATCTGTTGATGGTCTAGGCATCTCCTCGACCATGTGCGCCACAGCATCAAAACTATCACTGTGTCAGTCATGTAACGGTAGGTCTGTTTCTGGTGAGATGAACCCAATCAAGCTGAGGGCAGACTGAAGAAGTCCAAGCATCCATGCCGTCCCATCGCTCCAGCCGGTAGTATTGGAAAAATTTGTGAAGACGAATTCAGCGTCTGTCTTGGGAGAGGTTGCGAGTAGCACGATGCTGATCACGACGACGCTGAGCAAGGACCAATACACTTGAGAAGATTAGCAAGCCAATAGATCAACTTTTGTCCTTTAGAGTACTTACATGCTCCTTCATTCCATCGATTGAGGATTGGGTATGCAAAGATATTCAAGAATACTCCAATGATGGACACAGCGACGAACATCAAGTACGTGCTCCATTGTGTGATCTCGTAGGAGCCGCCAGAAGCTGCGACGGCGGCTGCAGCGAGGAATCGGGCTTCATCCAGAATTAGTGAATGTCAAGTCGTTGATGTAGGTCAATTCTCACCTCCAAAATACGCAGCGGTAGTGTTGAGCGTGAGCCAGCCAGCGATGTTGACCCATCCAACAAAGAAACTCTGGAGCTCATCAGCACTTGATTTCCAGTCAGGCTGTGAGGTGTGGGGTTTACCGTCATCTTCCTCCACTTCTTCGTCGAAAGTGCATAGGCATAGTGATATTGCCCTCCAGCCGTCGGATAGAGCGACGCAAGCTCTCCAACACTTGCACTCAATGCGATGTTGCAGATAACACAGAAGATGAAGCCGTACACAAAGGACACTGATCCACCTGAGGGCATCACTAGACCAATGGACCCAGCGAGAGAGATCCAAGTGCTTTTGAAAATCAGTATCCAGATCTGGGTACGTAACTACAAATCAAAGACTAACTTGAGAATAGCGAAAGCCATGCCAATCATGGTGATTTTAGAAAATCGCTTCTGCAGGTGGCCATCGTGGCCATCCGCTGATGATGTGGCCATGTCTTCGAGTGGTATGTGACAGCGGAGCTTCAATGGTGTGAATTGGAGGTAACCACCCGGACGTTCTTGACAGAATGCGAACCTCTCATGCCCTCTTATGGTCCTTGAAGGCTGTTTCACTTGTACATCGCAGTGTCGCACCGATGATAACAAGGCAGATGATAAGGAGAGATGCCTTTACGCTTAATAACATGCCAACAAACAGCAACGGGGTTATCCTCTCGGGTAGCTGCGAAGCTGCGAGTAATGACGGTGGTCTATCAACACGCTATCCCCAAAGTGGTAGTCTTAAGCAAAGGAAAAGACGAACCCCATGGCCGGCTGTGGATCGGAGACGCTGCTGTGGAGGTCTATCAGCCGATCACCCCGCATGCGATGATAACGGCCCCGAGCTGCGTCAATGCCGGCACCCATTTCCGCTGCGAACTGTGTACTTGGCCATCGAGGAATGTCATTGTTCCGAGAATATTTTCCCTTGATGGGTGCATTTCAGTTGATGAAGCTTCAATATAACCCCTAGAGGTAAAATACACCATCAATTGGGTAGAGCCGCTGCTCCCCGTTACTACCTTATGTTGCTCTGCTGTCCAGGCTCTAAAAGCAAGTGCTTAGAGCAACACATGGTTCACTGTCCTCGATCGTACGGCGCGGATAACGGCCACTATTCAATCCAGCCACATAGGTAGATTGAATTTGATTCATTGCTTCATTTTGTCCAAGGTTATGTTTGGATTAAAGCATCTTCTTGTACACCTTGTTGCATTCAATCTCCTGAACCCACAAGTTCCATGGTCGCATTAATGACCACTGTGTCGTCTTGTCAGAAGCCATACATTCATCTTTACTCAGGCTCTTCACGCCGCCCGTGACCCCAGTAACGCCTTGAAGCATTAAAGCAGTAGTTTGGATGCTTGCATTCTTCTGCGTATACACTGCTCGCATCACGGCGAGCTCGATGCTACTGGCAACGACTGTGAAGCCATGCCCGCGCATCAACGTCACGTTATTGCCATCGTCGAAGTGCTTCGCCAAGTGGGCACCCATATTCTCACTGCGTACAAGTAGGTCATCAACATCGCTGTTCTCCATGTGGTCTGCGGTATCAAATACCGGTAAACCATTGGCGCCCAGAAACCCGCACATGTGGCTGACGGCCCTCAGCGGAACACCCGATATCGTGTATGGGACCACGGCCTCGGAGTGGCTGTGGACCACCGCGTTAACCTGTGGGTGCCGCTTGTAAACCTCCGAGTGGATTCGCCGCTCCGCAAAGCCCGGAGGCGACTCCGGTTCGAGGGGCTCGGCATCACCAACCCTATAGGCGACAAGATCTCTGATCTCTGACACCTGAGCTGGGGCAACGTTTCGAGACATTACAAAGATGTCAGGGTCTAGAGGGTAGCGGAAAGACAGGTGACCGTAGGCATCAACCACTTGATGGAAGTGGAGAATGTGAGAGCCATCGATGAGTTTGCTGAAAAGCTTCCGAAGGTCGTCGGTGTGAGGCAGAGCAGCCATTGCAACGGGATGTATTTCTTTCCGGGCGATGGCGCAGGAATGTAAAAGGTTTCAAAGCGATATTTGATTTCCCGAAGACGGCTGGATTTGAGAAAGGCTAAGAGTGTCGCGAGTGCCGAGTGCTCATACAGAAGCAGCTGATCGACGGGCCGATGATCGGATTTCAGAAATCTGGCGGGGTACGAGCACCAACTCGATGCGGGGTCGTCGAGGGGGTAGTTTGAGAGTCTGAATGTGTGGCATTTGGCGACCTTTTCGTACATGCACGTAGGATCTTCATGTTAAAAATTGGTTTTGTGTTTGAGTATGCCGCGCCGAGTTCGAGGTAGCAGTAGATTTCCTGATAAAACCGATCTTCTCTCGCAGCAACTTTAGTCTTGGAAGGAATCCATTGGTCCTTTCGGAACGAGACCTAGTTCAACCAGAAGCCTCTCTAAACCCTCTGTCTTGAATGGTTTCTGTATCAATGCGTCGAAACCAAGACTGCGAGTTCTATCCATATCTAGCCCCATTGATATGCCAGCAGCCATAACTACAATACAACACGGCTTCAGGCCATTCTCGATTTCGAATGCGCGAATGAGTCTTGTAGCATGCAGACCATCAATGACGGGCATCGAAGGCTGCATCAAGATGCATTGATAGGTCTGGTAGCCTTTCTTGTATGCCTCGAATGCCTCCTGGCCATTACATGCGAAGTCGTACACGCAATTGTGCCCTAATCCGTCCATTTGCCTGGCGATGAATTTTCTCACAACTTGATTGTGTTCGGCTACAAGGATGTTGATTGACGTCGTGCGTGTTGCTGTAATGGGAACGCTAAGTGCCTGAGCTGGGCTTGATAGACCTGATTGCTCTGTGCTCAGCTCTTCCAGTGGACGTGTTCCATTCCCCGACAGGGATTCTGCGCACGAGAATACCATGTCGGCAAAGCAGTCATCTACTCTCTTCAGTGGTAAGCGAAGGAACGATGGCGGTCGGGTTCGGAAGTGCTGTAGTCGATGACCATAAAGCATTAAGAAATACATTCAAGAAGCAAGATGACGCTGCACAATTTTTTTTTCTCAAACACTAGATTATGTGCTGTGAGGCTTGCTGCCTGCTTGGCTTCTGACTTCCCGCTTACTCAAGGCGCAGCATTTCTAGTCTGCTTATGTGGATGCGGCCACGTTCTCAAGAGCTCTCGCATTGAGGTTTGGCACTAGGATGTAGGATTTGGGGAAAGGGAACATCTATAATACGACGCGTGTCACATATCTTTTTCACGGTAATTAGATCTATCCACTTACTACTTTACGTTGTTCTTTAGGCCCTGCGTTGACTTGGCGCCACGGATTCCCACGCAGCACTCCGTGTGGGATGTGGTTCCTACGTATAAATAACAATTATCGTGATAGATATCCAAAAGATGGCTATGGAAACCGTATGCTCACCGGTCCGTATTGCCGGGCAGTGTCAAGGCAGGGCCATCATCTTGGACGAGGCGCGCCCGACGCCGAAGCCGACGCCGTCAGGGGTACCGTGCAATTATGGGGCCGGTTTACGGGATCGGGTTGAAAATCGTGACAAGAGCCCCGAACGAGTTCTGGTACTCTGTCACCGAGAGGAGGGGACGAGGTTAGTTAGCGGCTTCGAACTCAAGTTATTCCTCACGGACTCTTCGGGGTTCGGCTGTTCCGTCTTGCCTCGTTCTCGCAACGTTCCAGAAGCTCTATCCCTGAAGCTCAGACTCGAATCGAGACGCAACTCCCAATGAGACCGCCGTAAACGCGAGGCATGTCCAAACTCTGTTCTACTTACCTTGCCATCTCGCAAGGCAGGGTGCCGGGTCTCTTCACCTCTTCTGCAGAGTACTCCCTCTCAGTTGAGAAGATTGCCCATGGCTGGGCGCCTCGGATAAATGAACTCTGCTAGAAACAAACCCCGCGGAGCCACTTCCCCGCGTCCCTCTTCTCCAACATTGGGTTTTCGCTAGGGAATGTCTGGTGCTAGTTCAATGACGCCGAGTTCTGGGGTAACGCACTCGGTGGGACTGCGTGACACCCCTAGATCCATTTTCGCTTCGCCTCGCATGAGAAAGCATCTGCCGGCTGTTCGTTTCGGGATCTGGTGAGACAAGGGAGAGAGTCAAGACTGGGGGGAGCTTGGAGCTCGGGTGCTCGGTCAAGCAGCAGCAGTGAAGCACGGCAGATCGGTAAAAACCCCAAACGCAACAACCCCAAAACTGCTTCTCCAAGGGCGTCTTTTGTGTTTTCCTATGAAGCCCGACTCCGTGACCTCGGTAAGCTGGCCACCATCTTGGTATTTGGGTTCTCCGACGCTCCCCAAGGATCCAACACCATATCTCGAGCTTCACGACAGCAAGGAATCATTATCACAACCCCAATCTATTGAAGACTGCGAATACACAACTTTTGTCGAATACATCGTCGTTTGGTCGCAAATACCTAGCCACGTCTCAGTAATCGGGTATTGGTTTCGCTGTGCCCAGCTACAGCCACTGGAGCCTGAGCGAGTACAGGACAGGCGATTCGGATAGTTTCCAAACCCAAGGCGAAAGAAATAGCAAGAATGGCACTCGGTAAGAAGACCTTATTCGCGATCCTTGCCCAAGCCCTCAGATCCAGATCAATTGGCGGGCATTGGCTACCACAAATGCCATGAATGCGCACTCACCCGATAGCAGTTACGGCCGCCGCGCTGGCTGGCAGCATGGTGTCCAGCATGTACGTAGATGCCAAGTACCACATCTCCAAGGATGTCAAGGCCCTCCGAGGTCGACGGACAGTGACCAAATTTGTCGAAAACTCGAGTAAGGACTGCCGCAGCCTACTTGACGCTCGTGAGATTAACCCAGGATACAGTCAAGAGCAGCCGTGTTTCTCCCTATTATTTCTTCGAAGAAGCGGTCCAAAAGGATCCCTACGGTGAAGCCATCTGGACACGAAGCGGGAGCGTGTCGTGGAAGACGACCTATGACAGGGCGAACCAGTATGCACAGATGTTCTTGTCGCAAGGTGTTCGGTCGGGGGACTTCGTTGCGATTCTCATGCAAAACTCGCCCGACTTTGCATTCGCCTGGGTTGGACTGCTTGCAATTGGTGCGGCGCCTGCCATGATTAACTACAATCTCGTCGGCAAAGCTCTCCTCGGCTGCATCGAGATCAGCACCGCCAAACTCGTAGTCGTCGACGGAAGCCCTGATATCGCGGCCAAGTACAACGACGTTCAAACCGAGTTGGATCTCAAGGGCATCAGAGTCGTCAACATCGGAGAAGAGAGGGAAAGGATATATCAGATGGATCCCATCCGTCCGCGAGACGAGCTTCGGAAGAATCTGACGCCTGCCGATGCAATGGCCATGTTCTATACGAGGTAAGCTCATTGGTGTCGGGGTCTGACTTCGATATCTGACAATCGCAGTGGAACTACCGGGCTACCCAAGGCTGTAATCATGCCTGCCGCTGCCGCTGGGAGCCTCG